ACCTGGTGCATCCCGAGTCACAGTGGCTGCAGCTAGTTGTGTGGAGATTGAGCGGGAGCGCCTAAGGGCTGCCCAGCTTCCACTTTCCAGGTCTCATTAATTAAGAGGTTTTTGAAGGGTGCAGGGAATCTCCGTCCACCAGTAGTCCACAGGTTTCTGACACGAAGCCTCACTACGGTTCTCCAAGCAATGACAGGAGCACCACTCGAACCTCTGAGGATGGTTGTCCTGAAGTTCATAATCCTTAAGGTAGTGTTCCTTGTGGCAGTTACCTCAGCCCATTGCATCTCCAAACTGGGGGCGTTGTCCTCCAGGTCGGATCTTTGTACATTCCACAATAATCGGGTCGTCCTGCAACTGGATCCGACTTTTGTTCTCAAGGTTAACTCCCTTTTCCACAGGTTGCAGGAGATGCTATAACCGGATTTTTGTCCGGAACCATCTCATGATAGGGAGCGCCTTTGGCACCGGCTGGATGTCTCGCGTGCCTTGCGCATTTACCTGAGGTGCACGGAGGGCCTCAGGAGGTCTGAGGTGCTCTTTGTTTCCTTTTGTCCGTCTTCCCTGGGGAAGAGGGTGTCCTCCTCCACTATAGGGAGGTGGATCAAACTGGCCATCACATTGGCTTATGAGGTTCAGCACCTTCCGGTGCCCCAGGGCATCACAGCACACTCCACCAGAAGCGCGGCTACCTCGGCGGCCTGGGCTACACATGTGCCTATCATGGAGGTTTGCAGGGTGGTTACGTGGGCATCCCCATCTCCCTTTATCAGGCATTACAGGTTAGAAGCATTTGCATCGGCTGATGCGGCATTTGGTCATAGTGTGTTACAACAGGTGATAGCGCATGAGGGGCCCAGGACCAATAGTGCCACTCCTGAGGGACGTTAACTTGGGTATGTCCCAATCCTGGCTAATCCTGCAAAATTCCTCCGGAAAATGACGGTCTTACCTGAACTGTTGTTTTAGGAGCTTTTGCAGGATTAGCCAGGTTCACACCCTAGCGTTGGTCCAGGGATTGGGGGAGTTCAGAGGGTAGGGTGTGTTCCCTTATGACTTGTTTTCAGGTATTTTGCAGTGGTCTTGACTCATTGAAACTGGAACCAGAAGCAAGGAGCACAGAGGTGTGGCTTCAGTTTTAACTCTGTCTCGATGTCAATTGGACATCACAATACCCAATCCTGGCTAATCCTGCAAAACCTCCTAAACCAACTGTCATTTTCAGCTACTCTTCGAGGACCCCTTTCTCTCTGTGAGGGGCAATTTGAAAGAGAGCTTTTTAAAAAATGGCTGGGACTTTTTAGCAAGGAAGTTTAGGCAGCTTAGTTCTGTTCTTATGGTTGCTGCTGGCAAGCAAACATTTTGTTAATACTGGCAGCGTTTTGACATCTAAACTGATCTGTTTGCTGAAGGAGGTGGTCTATATTTCCCTTTTTCCTACCTTAATTTATGTTCCCTTATGATGTTGCATGTTATCTTGCCCACTTTATTTTCAGTCCTCTTGAACACTGTTTTGAAATGGAAAGTGGGATAAAAACTTTAAATAAATGGTAGGGGTTTTGTCAACGTCCCTTATCACTTCAGCAAAAGAAAAATTTATTTATTGGGAATTCAGTGTGTGTTGGTTTCAACTGGTGATAGCAGTAAATTAAGCATTTAGATAAGCAGATTTCTAGCAGGCTTGGTATGATTTGAATATACAGGAACATCTTGGTCAAGTGCATTTTTCACTTCACTCCCTCCTCAAATAGCATGGAAATGCTGTAATCAAAGAACCGATTGTGGTGCGTCTCTGCTATTACTGGGTAGCAGGCATAATATCCAGCCCAGCACAGACACAGACAAAATGGCAGTGCTTAGTTACTATGGTGACCACCTTGGGTATGACTTTTCAAATAGAAATAGATTTTATAATAGAATATTTCAGTTTATGTTCCTGGAAGGAAGCAGCAGGTTTTATAAATATAAATAAGCTGCAACCGTGTTAATTAACAATTCACTTTACTGCAAGGTTTTTAATTGTTTGCCTTTTTCTCTATATGTTTTACTATATCAATTAGCTTTATGTTACAAACTTTACCATCTGTTGAATAAAAAGACTGCAGTTATAATACCTGTAGTAATTTTATTGAAAGCAATGGTTGTGCCAGCCTTTTGAGGTTGTGCCAGCCTTTTGAGGTTGACCAGAGCTGGAAACAGACTCCGTAGGAAGACTTGACATATTCTTCATTGAAATTGGTTGCAATGCAAAAATGGCATTGTACAAGACTGGTTGAAATTTACCTCTCCTTACTTTAACTTTTATCAAATAAACTAGTTTTAGAGTCCTTCCTTTTATTTCTGAAAATCTTAATTAAAATATTGTTATACGATTTGATCTCTCTTCAATTCTTCTTTCTTCCATTACAAAGTCTTCTTTGAAGTTTTAACAAGCCTGTTTTGTAAATCCCTGAAAAGAGATATTATAATTGTCTTGGTTAAGCATTTATTTATTCATTCAACTTTGTAATGGAAGAAAGAAGAATTGAAGAGAGATCAAATCGTATAACAATATTTTAATTAAGATTTTCAGAAATAAAAGGAAGGACTCTAAAACTAGTTTATTTGATAAAAGTTAAAGTAAGGAGAGGTAA